TCATTTGGAGGGGGCATAAGTCTGCTGACTCGATTTTCCAGTAGGAGGAGTGCAGGAAGCCACCAATCAATGATTCTCTTTCATCATTCCTTGACGTTTCTCTTTCTCCCTTTCATAAATTATATATATATTTTAAACAGGAAAAAGCAAAACCCAAGTTTTTCTGGGGAAGAAGGAATTCTGCCTCAAGCCTGCAGCACGGACCCAGCCTAGTTCCTGGCCCACTGGCCTGCCCTGCAAAGTAGACCCGGGACCCACCTCTCGGTCTCTGTCCTGTCTCTGTTATTGCTTAAGCTTCTCCCTGACGGACAGTCTGCCTCTCCCACGGGGCTATAGGCTCTCGGAAGGCAGGAGCTGCCTTTTTTTTTTTGTGTAGTTGTGCTCAATCAGCGTAGCACACAGTAGCTGCTTAATAAAAATGCAGTCACACCAGCATTTACGCAGAAGTGGCTTGAGAGGCAGACTCATGGGAGAGAGCTATTCCACTGTGCCTGATGAATGATCCTTGGTAATGTACATGGACCATTTTGTTTCCCCTTCTCCTTATGATATCACCCACTCCTACCTATTCCAGTGGGCTCTACCCACTTGGTGACGGGAATAATTTCTAGGACCTGCTTCTTGGTTGGTCCTGTGGCCGCCTGAGATTGCTGTTGCTTCCTCTGGAAAGTCCACCCTGACCTCAAGGGCCTGGTTAATGGCTCTCCTACAGGCTCCCATTGCACCCAGGGCTTAGCTCCATGTCAGACCCATCACATCCATTTAGTCATCCATCCAATCGTATTTGTCCAGTGCCTCCTTCTGTGGAGTGTCAGAGATCTGGTGGTGAACAAAACAGTTGCTGTCCTCATGGAGTTTACCTCTTCGTAGGGAAGGCAGACAATAAGTATCATGCATGTTAGGGAAGACACTTAAAACAGGGAAGGAGGATGTGGAATGTTATGGGAGGAAGTCCTAGTGTATCAGTCAGCTATTGCTGTGGTAATGCTACATAACAAACACCCCAGGCAGACACACATGGCGGGAGCTCAGAATCCAGCAGCATTTGGAGAATTCAACTTGATGAGACTGACCTGGCAGGTATGTGGATAGAAAGGAGAGGGGTGCAAGCACGGATCCCTGGGGTGCCCCGATATTGATGGCTGGGACTAGGAGAAAAGCTTGAGGAGGGAGCTGTGAGGTGGGGTAGGGGGAGGAGCAGGACACTGTGGGCCCTAGAATCCTGGTGGAGATTATAAGGTTCTCCCTCCTCTCAACTGGTGGGTGGAGTTATGACATTACTGGCACCTGTCACAGAGACATCTCCAAGACATTGAGCCATCAATCAGCGCCTGCCAAAGTGTCCTGGAGCCCACCCCTTCCTGTTCTGACCTGGGTCCAACCCTCTTCTGTTCCTCCCCTTAAAAAGACACCCAGACCAGCCATATGCTGCTGATCCTCCATGTCCAGGTGGCAGCCCGGCTGGGTCCATCCCCCTCCCAACTCCTTCAATTCTGATTTCTCTACCTCCGTAATGAGTCCCGCTCATTGCTGGGGAATAAACTTTACTTTAAAACTCCTTGGCGGTCAGTTTCCTGCACCTCAAACCTTACAGAGATGGCACGTTGAGAAGGGGGAGTGACCAGCTGGTTATCTGCACGGGGGCCAGACCAGGAGAGGCCTGAGAACAGACGTTGGACTCAGCAACCTGGAGAGATGTTTGTGGGAGCCATGGGGGACCTGACTGGATGATGGAAAGTTTGCTGGGCAAAGCAGAAGTGTGGGTCGTCATCAGCAAGAGAGGAAGTGAGTGGGATTTGTGGGTGCACAGAGGCCTGGGTTTGGATATAGTGACCCTTGGCCCAGCTTTGCCTCCTCCATCACATCTGGAGCAGCCTTGTCAGGGTTTGCGTCTGAGAGGGTTCATTCCAGGGAACTCCCTGGATCTGGTCGTGAGGGCCTGCCAGGGCCTGCCTGGCAGGTTGAATCGGGCTGAGGTAGGGAGGTGGGAATTGAGAAAAGAAAGACAAACAGAAGAGCTGGGTCGGGAGGACTACAAGCCATCGAGGAACTGCAGCAAGTTTATGAACTGTGCAATGCTTTTTATGCACAAAACACGGAGTAGGAGGTTGTGGGATCCTTAACACGACCCGCATGGTTCAGGGCCCACTCAGGGTCCGGCTTCTGGAGAAGGCCGCACACTAAAATGAAGAGAGACTGGAAAAGAATTAATTTGGGGAAATGGGGGCCAGGCGGGAAGTCCACCTCTAGTGGGAAGACTAACCCCTGCTCTGGCCTTTTACCATTCCTTTTATTGAGATTCTGAAACAAAGACATCTCTTAGGCGGGAAGTTCCAACAACAGAAAATAAACAAGAATTTATATTTACATATGATCAACAAATTAAAGTTTCCTCAACCATCAGTATCTCAACTAAACGATGAGTTAAAAGCTCCGACCAAAGTTGGCTAGCTCTTTCTAAATTTAACAACAGGGAACAAATGTTTGGTTTCGGTTAGCCAGCTCTTTTTATGTTTTACCATCAGTGACTTAACTTAGAGTCAATGAGTTAATAGCTCTGACCATTCAGAGCCATCAAGCCTGGCTAGCTCTTTTTGTACCAGTGACAATGTTAGGTTTTGGTTCCCGTTCCTGACAAGAGAAATGTATTCTTTGTTCCTCTTTTAAAAAAAATATATTTTATTGATTTTTACAGAGAGGAAGGGAGAGAGATAGCTACCAATTATCGTGGAAGGGGCTGGCAGGGCATGGCCGGCTTCCAGGACACGGTGGGTCGTGGTAGGGTTGGCAGTGGGCTGGGCAGGCAGCCCGCCGACCTCACGGAATTGGGTTAGCTGAATGTGTTCCTGCTGACTCACAGCAGTGCCCAAGCCCACGCAGTGAGGATTTGCAGGAGCCCTGCTGCGCCCCGGAGCGGAAAATCAGGCGCTGGGCTTTGTGCCTGGGGCAGACTGCTGGCCGTAAGGGGAATCCTGCAGACCCAGCACATTCGGCCTTTGTGTGAGGGGCCCGGGTCAGCGCCCGGGCGCAGAGGCCAAGCTGCTGAGGGGCTCGGAGACATTGCAATGGGACGGTCCGCAAGGGTGGCTGTGAGGGTGGCTGTGAGGGTGGCTGTGAGGGTGGCTGTGAGGTGGCTGAGGGGTGGCTTGTGAGGATGGCTGTGGGGTGGCTGTGGGGTGGCTGTGAGGTGGCTGTGGGGTGGCTGTGGGTTGGCTGTGAGGTGGCTGTGGGGTGGCTGTGGGGTGGCTGTGAGGTGGCTGTGGGGTGGCTGTGGGGTGGCTGTGAGGTGGCTGTGGGGTGGCTGTGGGTTGGCTGTGAGGGTGGCTGTGGGGTGGCTGTGGGGATGCTGTGAGGGTGGCTGTGGGGTGGCTGTGGGGTGGCTGTGGGGTGGCTGTGAGGATGGCTGTGGGGTGGCTGTGAGGGTGGCTGTGAGGATGGCTGTGGGGTGGCTGTGAGGGTGGCTGTGAGGATGGCTGTGGGGTGGCTGTGGGGTGGCTGTGAGGGTGGCTGTGGGGTGGCTGTGAGGGTGGCTGTGAGGGTGGCTGTGAGGTGGCTGTGGGGTGGCTGTGGGTTGGCTGTGAGGGTGGCTGTGAGGGTGGCTGTGAGGTGGCTGTGGGGTGGCTGTGGGGTGGCTGTGAGGGTGGCTGTGAGGGTGGCTGTGAGGTGGCTGTGGGGTGGCTGTGGGGTGGCTGTGAGGATACATGCGTCCCACACACATGGTTTGACTGGGGAGGCACAAAGATAAATAAGAAACTTCTCACCGCCTGGATTGCCCATCACCACTCACAGGGGTGGGGACAGCATTCTCCTCTGCTGTGTGTGGGTGTGAGGTGTGAGTGAGCACAGTGCTCCCCAGAGGTGGAGCTCTCCAGAGGTCACGCTACTGACGCACACCTAAAGCCTTAACTCCAGGAAACATCAAACGTCCGAAAACTGAGGGGTGGCAAGTGCCCTCGGGGGAGGCATCCTGAGCGATCAGAGCACAGGAGGAGCAGGCCTGGCCGATCACTGTGCCCGCACGGCGGGGGCAGGCCCGACGGGGCGCCTGGTCTCAGGGACGGCGTGCCCGGGAAGGACACAGCAGCAGGGTGGACCCTGGGGTGAACCCCCGGAGGAAGGTCCGGGCCTGCTCCATGTTCACAACCGCGAACCAGCCCGTTGGGATGCACACAGACCCCACGACAGGGACCCCCGTGCCGGAATGGCAGGCCCGTTCACTGCTTGGTACTTTCCGTCTTTCCTGAGCCGGAAATTACAAATCTCGTAGCTACAAATGGAGGTAATTTTTTAAAATGTATTTTATTGATTTTTTTACAGAGAGGAAGGGAGAGGGATAGAGAGCTAGAAACATCGATGAGAGAGAAATATTGACTAGCTGCCTCCTGCACACCCTCTAGGGGGATGTGCCTGCAACCAAGGTACATGCCCTTGACCGGAATTGAACCCGGGACCCTTCAGTCTGCAGGTCGACACTATCCACTGAGCCAACCGGTTTTGGCTGGGTGAGATTTTTGTGAGCGGGAAGAATAGAGGTCATTCTGTTTTGATAAACAGCGTGCCCTCACCTGGCAGCTGTGGGGGTGGGGACCATGTGTCTAGCCTCGTGTCTTAGGTTCCTCGTCTGTGACTCGGGTCTGAGCACCCACAGGGAGGGTGGCCACGACCCCACAGGACCACATGGGCAGACGGCGGGAATGCATGTGGGGGGGACAGGGATGAGCCTTCACTGTCCCCCAGGCGAGGGGTGGCCGAGGGGGTGGCCGAGAGCCGCTAGGAGAGCCCCTGCAGGTCAGGGCCCGGCGGGGAGCGTTGGGCTCTCAGCCAGGCCCCTGATTCTGCTGACCGGGCAGCCTCCCTCCTGAGCTCACGCTTCCGGACGAATCCCCTGACGCGGGCATCCCGTCCCAGATGGGCGTATATAGGGCGGGCCGGCGCCCGGCTCCCCACTGCGCTGCCCAGAGGCCCTGTGAGTCCCGGGTCCCGCAGCCCCGACGCCCACCATGGACATCGCCATCCAGCACCCCTGGTTCAGGCGCGCCCTGGGCCCCCTCCTCCCCAGCCGGCTCTTCGACCAGTTCTTCGGCGAGGGCCTCTTCGAGTGCGACCTGCTGCCCTTCCTGTCCTCCACCGTCAGCCCCTACTACCGCCAGTCCCTGCTGCGCACCGTGCTGGACTCCGGCATCTCCGAGGTGAGGCGGCTGGCCGGGAGGGCCGGGATGGAGCCCGGAGGACCTGGGGCCGCCCCGGAGCTGCGAGCTCTCGTCCTGCCGTGTGGGGTGCATGGCCACAGCTGGGGGGCCATTTCCCCCTCGCCCCAGTTCCCCTGCAGCAACGCCTCCGGTGCTTCCGGGGAGGGGTCCAGAGGGAGCCTGCCTGGGCCCGACCGCTGTCTTTTCCTCCATCAGCTCATGACCCATTTGTGGTTTGTAATGCACCAACCACATGCTGGAAGCCCCAAGAGCAACCCCACCAAGGCAAGTTCGAGGGCCGACGCGAGCTGAGTGTCCGGCAGCAGAAGCCTGGGTTGGGGGGCTGCCCAGGTCCCGAGCGAAGGGCCTATGGGAAGCCCTGGCCGCCAGCGGAGAGGTGGGGAGCGGGCTCATCCCGCACCTGCCCAGATGCCCGAGGCAGGGAGAGCCACCTACAGGAAAGGCAGCGAGAGCCACCGTCTTCCCTCCCCGAGATGGCTCCCAGGCCCCGAGGGCTGGGTGCCACGTCTGCCCACCTCCTGCCAAGGGCCGTTGGGTATTATAACATCACTCTCGGCCATGCAGAATGACCAACTTAACCATGAGCTGCTCTGCTGGGTCCAACATTTCATTAACTCACCCCTGAGGCCTTAGGGCCAGGCCACAGGTCTCCAGGGGTCTTAAGAGGTCCATGGGCTGGGCACTCCCCACCTGGTTGACCGCAGGCCTGCCCAGAGCTGACACACGAGGATCTAGCCCAGTGGCCAGAGCCGCCTAAACTCAGGTTCTGTGTGCAGGTGGCAGCCACCTCGTGGACTGTTGGGCCCGGCCAGTCAATGGGAAAGGACAGGGCCCTGGCCTGTTGATGGTGGTCCGGGGAAGCTAGGTCCACCCACCCAGACAGACAGCCAACAACCAACTTTACCCAACCAACCAGTCAGCCAGCCAGCAACCAACCAACAACCAACCTTACCCAACCAACCAGTCAGCCAGACAACTACTAGCCAACCAGTTAGCCAGCCAGCCAACAACCAACCTTACCCAAACAACCAGCCAGCCAGCCAACTACTAGCCAACCAGCTAGCCATCGCACAACAGCTGCCCGGCTGCAACCAGCCAGTGGGCCCCGCTACCAAGCAGACAGCCACAGACACCACTCCTTGCATCAGGCCTGGCTGTCAGCTGAGTGTCCACAAAGCCCCGGTCACTGCGTGTGTCTGAGGAGAGGCCAGAGCTGTGACCTGCAGTTTCTGTCCTGATCGTTGGGGATGCAGCCGCCGGCCACTCCATCTTGGCCACCCTAGCCCGCCCGGCAGGGACCACAGCAGCAAGCCCCCTCCCCGAGGCTCAGCCCAGGGAGACCCACACGAGCATTTGGGTTCCAGGTCCGATCTGACCGGGACAAGTTTGCCATCTTCCTGGACGTGAAGCACTTCTCCCCGGAGGACCTCACCGTGAAGGTGCAGGAGGACTTTGTGGAGATCCACGGCAAGCACAGCGAGAGGCAGGTGAGCCCGAGCCCCAGCCGTGAGGGGGCCGCTCCAGGCTCGGGACCCAGGCTTCTCCGGGAGGGGTGGCCCTCCTCCTCAGCCCAGCGGGCCGCCCAGTGGGGGCGGGGCTCTGAGCCCTCGCAGGCCCAGCAGCCTGGCCAATGCCTGGGGCTGTCCTGCTCCCTCCAGACCACCTGTGGATGGGGTGGGATTAGACGGCCCCTTTGAAATGCTGAGCACCACGCTGGCGAGTACCAAGCTGGCGGGCTCAGGTTTTGTCACGCGCCCAGCTTTGGAGGGCGAGCGGTGTCGACAGCGTAGCTGGCATTCGTCGGTGCTGCAGACGCTTTGTGTGTGTTTGCCCGGTCACCTCTCTCGGCAGCCCTTCACGACCAGCGCCCCATTATCTTGGTGGCATGGCCAGGCTCAGGGAGGCCCTTGGCCTGCCCAGCCCCGCAGCCAAGGCCGGGTGGGGTGTCAGGACGCCTGGGCACTGGAGCTGGTGGGGGCAGGGTCTCGGGCAGAGCTGGGAAGGGCCCACGGACGGTCACACGTATGCACTGTCCCCACGTGAAGTGGACAGGACGCAGGGTCTGCGGGCACCATGCTGGCAGCGCCAGCCTCTCATGGCCGGGGCCAGAGACCAGGGGTTCCTTTGATGGCTGGAGGAGCCGTGGGTGCTGGTGGAGGAGGGGGCACTGTCCATGCCCCTTGATTAGCCAGCTCAGCCCAGGATGGTCCTCCCGGGAAGGTTCTCAGCCTTCCCACTTGGAGGAGGGACGGGCCCAGCGGACGAATGTGGGCTAGCACGTCTAGGAGAGTGGGCTCCTGCACTTAGGAGGGCTTCCTGACCCTCAGGCGGGCCCAGGGACCCCGAGCCCGAGCAGTTAGTCTGTGGGGTCACAGGAACAGGGACACCCGACCCGGGACAGGAGCAGAACCAGTCATGAGACTTCAGAGGGAAGTTAGAGCAGTGAAGGGCTGGACCATTATGGAGGGAGGCGGGGGTGGGGGAGATGAGGGGGTGGAGGATAGGAGGGTGGGGAAGGGGTAAGGGGATCTCAGCAGAAGCCTCTCCTCCCCGCTCCACCTGGGAGAGGCCATGGGCTTGACCCTCGTGCTGTCCAGGAGGCCCTTCTCCCTGAGGGGCTGCTGCCCCCGCGGGAGTGGCTGCTGGCCGCTCTGACGGTGTCCCCTCGCCCCGCAGGACGATCACGGCTACATCTCCCGTGAGTTCCACCGCCGCTACCGCCTGCCTTCCAACGTGGACCAGTCGGCTCTCTCCTGCTCCCTGTCTGCCGACGGCATGCTGACCTTCTCTGGGCCCAAGGTCGTCGCACCTGGTGGGGACGCGGGCCATGGCGACCGGGCCATCCCCGTGTCGCGGGAGGAGAAATCCGGCTCTGCCCCCTCGCCCTGAGCTGGGCCGCGCGTCCCCTGCCACCCACTGCTGCCCCTGCCACCATCCACCGGGGGAGCCCTAGAAACGGGGCATTTGTCTTCCCTCTTTCCCCTTTCTCCTTCCCTTCTCCTCCCTCTTCTCCGAGGGAATAGGGTTTGAGAGCGCAGCCTGGAGGGTTTGGGACCTCAGTCGGAGGTGCTGCGACCTCAGGGTGACCCAGATCCCAACACCGGCCAGTTGGTGGGAGTGACAGCCATCCCAGCTCCGTTAGACAACTGCCCGCCCTCCTGGGGGGCGCAGGCCCGCCTCGCTGACCATCCCCGGGTGCCTCCCAGCCAGGCGCATCTGTCCGTGGCAGCGGGCACCTCGTCAGGGCCCGGCCGTGGGCTGCCACGTGTGCCCAGCCCCAAGGGGCTGACCCTTGGAGGCCCGGGTGCCCGGCCCTCAGCAGCCCGCTTCTCTCTTCCCTCCTCCTTCCTCTCTGCAGTCCGCCCCTGGGCGCCTGGCGCCCCTGACAGTGCAGCCGGTGGCAGTCAATAAAGAGCAGGTGACACAGCACCCCGCCGCCTGGTGGCCCTGCTGTCTCCGTGCGGGCAGAGGGGGGAAGGGGCGACACAGCTCAGAGTGGGGGTGTCAGGGGGGAGGACATGACTCACCTTTTACCCATCACTTCCTGGCTTCCAGTCCCTGCCTGGCTTCACAGGAGGGAGAGGTTTTCAGAACTAGGAGGGATGGAGGGGGGGAGGGAAGAGAACCTCAGGCTCCGTCCCCAGTGCTCCTGGGAAATGGGTGCCAGGCGGGGCCTCATCCTCTGCCCTGCCCCACCCCTGCCCCTGGGGGCTGCTCTCCGGGCTCCCCTGGGATGAGTTTTAGGGATCCTACCCCCTGGGTTCCTAAGGGATGAGAAACAGCATCACCCACCTCTATGGGGCACCAGGCCCTGGCTCCCCCTGGGAGGCACCGCCCCCCCCACCCCCGCCTCCCCTCCTCCTGAACAAGGCACGTGGTCTTCAGGGGCGTGGGGAGACCAGAGCTGAGCGCCCCACCAGGAGCAGGAGGCCTCAGTGTTCACCCTAAGGTGGGGAGGAGCAAGGCCTGGGGGCCCTCAGCCTCAGGGCAGAGGTGGCTCAGCCAGGGGCGCTGGCAGGTGCCGTGACCACAGAGGGTGAGGTGGGTGGCCAGACGGGGAAGCCAGCAGACACTGTGGCCTGGTGGGCTCTGCCCCCGTGGTCAGGCCGGGAAAAGGATCCTCTCCTGGGAGCACAGGGGACAGCCCTCAGGGCAGTGCCCTCCCTCTTAGTGGAATAAACTAGACCCCCAGAAGGCAGGACACACAGAAAAAAAAAAATTCCCAAAGTGATTCCTTCTCACTTGAAGTGAAACAGTGTGCTGTCATTTAAAGTGGGAAGCAACACACACACACACAGACACACACATACACACACCCCTGTGTCTCACTCTGGGCTGGGCCCCCATCGAAAGAAGGGCCCTCACCGCTGTGGGAGTTTCCCAGACTCCTCCTACCCCCGCCTGCCCTCCTTCCAGCAGGAAGGCCCCACTTCTGCCAGACAATCCATATCCACAAAGAACGTGGGTGCCCCGTGTGGTGTGGGAGGCAAAGTGGTCTCTGCATTGGGCTGGGCCGGAGCCTCTGAGCCCCTTGCTCCTCCCGAGTCTCCTCAGGAAGGGATGGTAGGCCATGCTTGTCCAGGGATGAAGGATCTCTCATGGAGAGGTCCTTCCACTCCGGGCGGGGCGCTGGGCTTCAGCAGGGACAGTCCGCAGCTGCTGTTTTGTTTTGATTAGCAACAGCACATAGTTGTTGTTTTTTATTTTTATTATTTATTTATTTTTAAAAATATATATTTTATTGATTTTTTATAGAGACGAAGAGAGAGGATAGAGTTAGAAACATCAATGAGAGAGAAACATCCATGAGCTGCCTCCTGCACGCCCCCCACTGGGAACGCGCCCGCAACCAAGGTACATGCCCCGGACCAGAATCGAACCCGGGACCTTTCAGTCTGCACAGACCGACGCTCTATCCACTGGGCCAAACCGGTTTCAGCAGTTGGTTGTTTTTTAAATAGGCAAAAAGAGAAAAACAACGACAACAAAAGCACCGGCAGGGAGGGTGTTCTTTGGGGAGGAGAATGCCGCTTTTAAAGAGGCCTAGGCGAGGCGAGCGATTGGGAGACAGGGTCGCGGGGACTGAAAGGTCCCGGGTTCGATTCCGGTCAAGGGCATGTGCCTTGGTTGCGGGCACTTTCCTCTGCCTCTGGCGTCTTAAAAAAGCCGCTGGGGGGGGGCAATGGAAAGATATGTACACATATAATACCTTAATAATAATATTAATATTAATAATAATAATAATAATAAAAAGCCGCCCTGCGAGCCGCTTCCGGAGCGGGAGGAGCGAGCAGGCTGACGGACCGGCGCCCGCGCCCCGCTGCTCGGCTCCCAGCGGACCCTCGGCCCCGGGGCCGGAACCGCGCCCAGCCCCAGGGTCACCGTTGCAAACGGACCGGTTCTCCTCGGAGACTTGTGGCCTTTTCTTCCCCTTCTCCGCCGTCCCCGCCTCCTCTCTCCCTCCCCTCCTCGCAGGAGGCGCCTGCAGTCGCGCTGGACACCGGCTTCAACCGCGGGCCGACAGCGGGAGTCTCTCTCCTTAAAAAAAAAAAAAAAAAGGAAAAGAAAAGCAGCCGAAACCGGTGTGGCTCAGCGGATAGAGCGTCAGCTGAAGGGTCCCGGGTTCGATTCCGGTCCGGGGCATGTGCCTTGGTTGCGGGCGCGTCCCCAGTGGGGGGTGTGCAGGAGGCAGCTCATGGATGTTCTCTCTCATCCATGTTTCTAACTCTCTCCCTCTCCCTTCCTCTCTGTGAAAAATGAAATGCATTTTTAAAAAAGAAAGCCCCTGATTGACGCCCTCTCCTGGCAGCGCTATCAGAGGTGACCTGCACACTGGCTTCCCTTCGCTGCCTCCCCTCCTCCGCCCCCGGAGGGTGTCCATGTTTCAACCCGGATATGGCGGAGGGTGTCCTGTTTTCTTTTCTTTTTTAAAATATTTTTTATTGATTTTTTACAGAAAGGAAGAGAGGGTTAGAGAGTTAGAAACATCCATGAGAGAGAATCATCGATCGGCTGCCTCTTGCACACCCCCCATGGGAAGGTGCCCACAACCAAGGCACATGCCCTTGACGGGAATCGAACCCGGGGCCTTTCAGTCCGCAGGCCGACGCTCCACCCACTGAGGCACACCGGTTTCGGCGGGTGACCTGTTTTCAGCCCGGATCTGGCGGAGGGTGTCCGGGTTTCAGTCCCATCTGGCCGGGCTCTGCTCCGCCCCTGAGACGGCGGGGGTGGGGGGAGCGAATTCTTCCTCCACCGCCTGTGGGCCGGCGGGCGCCGTGTGCAGCCGGGCAGCCGGCCGCGTGGGCGGGGCCGGCGGAAAGGGCGGGGCGGGCGGGCGTGTGGGCGGGGCCGGCGGAAAGGGCGGGGCGGGGCATTGCGCTCCCTATAAAAACGTAGACATTGCGCCACTTTTATCTCCCCTATCTCTCCTATCGCCATCTTCGCTGAGGGCGTGAGAGGACCTGCCTGGCATGGACTCAGCTCTGCCACTGCTTCACCAAGTCTGGGCGAAAGGCGTCCGGAGCAGGGGCGGCCGTATGGAGCGGGCGGGCGAGGAGAAGCGAGGGAGCGAGGGAGAGACGGAGAGAGGCCGCCCGGGCCTCGGCGGGGCGCCCCTCCCGCTCCCCGGCCAGGCGGCCGCGCGCAGGAGGAGGAAGAGGAGGAGGAGGAGGACCCCGAGGGCACCGTGACCTGGCCCTGCGCCACCGCCGACAGGTTTGGACGTGCATGGGGGGGGAGGGGTGCGAGTGGGCGATAAAGCTGCCCCCGGAGGAGGGTGGGGTCAGGCACAGTCCAGTGGGGGGTGGGGTTTGGGGAGGGGGGAGCTTCTCCCCAGGCCCAGCGGGGCTGCAGCTGGGACAAGGGGCAGCCCAAGACGTGCTTTTTTAATTTTTTATTTAAAAAAATATATATTTTATTGATTTTTTACAGAGAGGAAGGGAGAGGGACAGAGAGCAAGAAACATCCATGAGAAACATCGACCAGCTGCCTCTTTTGCACCCCCCACTGGGGATGTGCATGCAACCAAGGTACATGCCCTTGACCAGAATCGAACCCGGGACCGACACACTACCCACTGAGCCAAACGGGTTTCGGCCCAAGACGAGCTGTAAGTGAGGTTCCCGGACCCACTTGAGCGGCAGCCGCAGGCAGGACAGATGCTTCAGGTGCGGGGAGAGGGGCCCTGAGCCCCAACTGCCAAAGGGCATTGTGCGCAGCCTCTGTGGCCAGCGAGGGCACGCCTGTGCTCAGTGACCCAAAGCCGTTCACAATGGGCGCCTCCGCTGCCGCTGAGCACACCCGCCGGCCGGCCTGCCTGCCTGCCAGGGTGAACGCAGAGCCAGTTTAACCCTCTTAAGTGCCAAAACTTTTTTTGAAGCCATTTTCTATCGTGCTTGAAAGAGATCCTTTTAAACAGGAGATACATTTTTCAGCCTTCTTCCTTTCCTGAATTGGTGACTCATTAGTCATGTGACTTCCGACAACTGTTACTGTGCAGATGCTCCGCCAGTCCCTCTACTGAATTTAGTTTTCGTGTGTTTTTTTGTAATTGGGGGAGGGGAGGTTTGACTCCTTACTTCCTGTGCCTTGTCTCCTCCCGGAATTTTCACCCTTTGGGGCTGCCTCGCTCATCGGGATGTGCCAGCACTGGGTGCGGGGCCCAGCAGTGGTAGACATTGCGCTCAGTCCGTGTTTGTGGACTTGAAAACATTTTCGACCGTGACTTCCGACAGGATATCTAGCTGGTGCAGCTCTTTCCCTCGCCCTTATCATTTGCTGCTTCTAATCTGTGTGGTCTGAGAATGTGTGAAAAACCTGTGTTAGAAGTGTGAGTAATCTGAGTCAAAAGCTCTGAACGGTGGCCAGTGCTCTTTATGGCAGTAAAA